GTTTTTATAATTACAGTCAAAGCCTGGTGAAGTTGAAGAAGCAGTCAAAGCTGCTATAGATACAGGATATAGACATATTGATTGTGCTCTGGTTTATGATAATGAAAAAGAAATAGGAAAAGCTATTAAGCAAAAAATTGATGAAGGTGTTGTTAAACGTGAAGATTTATTCATTACTAGTAAAGTAAGAGTATTTACTAATTTCTCATGAATTAAAATAATTAAAAAATACTATATTTTTAGCTGTGGAACACTTTTCATCAACCTGATTATGTTGAAACAGTATTGAAAAAAACTTTATCTGATTTGCAAATTGAATATTTGGATCTATATTTAATTCACTGGCCTATGGCTTTTAAGGTATGATCAAAATCAAATAAAAATAGTTAATGACCACTAAATACCTTTAACAATTAATTGTTTACATTACTAGGAAGGCAAGTTAGAAGATGAATGGTTCCCAAAGGATGCTAATGGAGTGACACTTGAAGGAACTGGTTCTTATATAGAAACATGGACAGCAATGGAAAACTTGGTTAAAAAAGGTCTTGTCAAGTCAATTGGTGTATCAAACTTTAATAAGAAACAAATTGAAAACATACTAAATATAGCTACCATAAAGCCAGTTGTTAATCAAGTATAAATATTTATTAAATATATAAAATTTTAAATGTTATATAAATACTTTATATTTGTTTTTATTTAGATTGAATGCCATCCATACTTGAATCAAAAAAAATTAAAAGAATTTTGTGAACAAAAAAACATATTTATAACTGCATACAGTCCCTTAGGATCTCCAGACAGGCCTTGGGCTAAGCCAGAAGATCCATCACTCTTGGAAGACCCCAAAATTGTAGCTATTGCAAAAAAATATGGTAAAACTACTGCTCAAATTTTGATTAAATATCAAGTACAAAGAGGCATTATTGTCATTCCAAAATCTGTGACCAAGAGTCGCATTGAATCAAATTTTGATATATGGGACTTTGCATTAGAACAAGGCGATATAGATGCGATTGATACTTTTGATTGTAATGGCAGAGTTCTTCATCTTAACTGGTATGTTAAAAGTTCAGGTTTATTTAAAAATATAAAACTAGGTTTTATTATTTATAGTTTAAATCAACTATACGCCTTCATTTTTTATTTTTTTTTTGCAGGAATAGTCATTTCAAGGATTATCCATTCCATGATGAATATTAATATTAATGAAAAAATATTTCTGCAATTAACTAATAATTTTTAATTTTGTTACTATACTATTTAAAAAATATAAYATATTATTTCATACTTAATTTAATGGATTTTCATGTAATACACATCATAATATATAATCATTTTTGTAAAAAAACACGTAATAAAAACAATTGATATGCAATAATTAGTCGATTTATTTGATAATCAGTATAGGTAATTAAAAAAAATAATAAGTAAATTTATTTTCATATATTATTCTAAGTAGTTCATTGATTTAAATTTAAATGACCTTAATGTCAGGAAAATGATTTGTATATTTAATAGATATTTAAATGTTACTTTAAACTTTTAAAATAATTTATTTTGATTAGTAAAACTAAGTGGTTATTATTTTGGTTTTAATGTTTTCTTGTGCATGTATTTCAAAACTACGATAAAACTTATAATTTGTTTATTATAACTGAAATAGAGATTGACATGTAAAATAATCTGAGAATTATATCAATTTAATAGGTTCAAACTACAAAGATTGAAAGATGTACATTTATAACCAAATGCTTAACCATAACATGATCATTATACATAATTTATCAAACATACATACAAATACTATTAGTATGTATAGCTCTTACTAAATCGACCACTCAAATTTAACCTTAAAGCTTTGTCATATATTTCATAATTAAAGTAGCTAATTTTTGAAACTTTTCCATTTAGATTTTAGTATTTATCACAAATATTTACCTAAATGATTTTTTGAATTTAAGCCAATTAAGGAGGAGCGAGATGAKGTGTAACATAACATTTTATTAATTTAAAATTTTATGAAAAGTTTATGAATATTGTATTATTTGTATTGAATTTAAATACATATTTTTACTTACATTCATAGATTTAAGAAGAGCTTACTTCAATGTGCTTACTAAAACTTTGATTCAGTTAAAAAAGTTAAATGTTATGATATATTAATTTAATGTATTAGTTATTTTTTTTTTTTTTACTTTACCATAAATACTATAATTAGTTATACCTTAACTAATAGTTATTTAGTTATACCATAAATACTATAATTCAATTTAGAATATTTATTTACTGTTAGTTGTATCTAGTTAGTAATTAATTATCTAGTTAGCAAATATAATAAAAGTAAAATAATGTATAAATTAAATTCATCCACATAGTATTATTTTTATTTTTAATGTGGTGATGTATCTGAACACTCATTTTTGATGTCACTTGATGTTACTTATGCAATAACACATAAATAGGTAGTGGATTGGTATCTACATAATTTGAAGATATTTTACTGGCATATTGCCTTGTTTTTCCATTTTTATTTTCCCTGCAGTTATAAGAATAGGTGAGTACTCTTGTTAATAAATAGGACATAACTTCTGAACCGGTAATGTGTCAAATAGGTACCTCTTCATAAATCCACCTCATACATGRCACTTAATGAAACTAAAAAAAAATKATTCAAGAACCAATCTACCCTAWCCCCACACCAAACCCATAAAATGTGTTCAAAAGTATTACGGCTGGCCGATACCATGCAAGCCATTGTTAAAAAAAATTAATTTTAAAAATGGAAAATAATATTCATCATAAGTCCTCTGATTTGTTTGATTGTTAACCACGAAAACTAGATTAAACGTTCAAGGCTAAATATTCTAACCAGTAACCAATATAATTTTCATAGTTATGCCTATAAATGTTAAATGTAAAATTATCAATAACTAATTAAAATAAATAGTAGGAGATATATTTTTAAGAAGGTTAGGTACTTACTTTATCAGCTGATATTAAAATTATTATTTTTTTTTWAATTATATTTAATTAATGGCTACAAATCATAATAATATGTATTGAT